TATTGTCCTTTCATCGTTCTGGTCATTAAGAGCATCGATTTTTACAACTTTAATCATAGCAAACCGTATTTCCACCAGTGCTTTTGCTTTTTTAAAGTTTAGAAACCCTGCCACTGTAGCCTCGCACTTTTCATCAGTGTGAAAGAATTGATCAAATTCCAGCATCAACATAAATGGGTTAAACAGAGACGAAATGAGCATAAAGAAACTTTAAAAAGGTAAAAAATATAAACAGCACGCACACACACACACTGTGAAATATACTGAAGACCAAACATCCTAGTAAAGCAACGACAAATGGAGCACGTTTTGAATAGAAGTAAGCTTAAAAACATGAACATTAGACTGAGATATGAAATTATTGAGATTTGTACACATACAGCCGTACATTATTTTGCTTCTGCTCTGTTTTGTTAAGTTAAAATAACTGTTTCTTTGTTTCTTCAGCAGGGACGTTGTTTCGATATGACTCTATGTGCAAAAGACCTACTGTGGAGTTGCCATTTAGAACAAGGTAGACTTTTTAGTGAACATGAGGGGTTTAGGGCAGACCGTGCAAAATAATAAGTCTCAAAAATCTTACAAAAGGATTTAAAGAAGTTTGTCAACAGTCGGCGCATTTTCTGAAAAGCAGATTTGTACGGGAGAATGACGCAAAAACCCCAGAAGACTGGAGAGCGCAAGTCTGGGAGCTGAACAGATCTTAATTTGCATGCTGAAGAAAAACCCTTTATGACTGCGCAGTTAGTCAAGAAGGTACTCCAGGATGTGTGTGCACAGGTTTCAGTGTCAACAATCAAGAGAAGACTTCTTGCAGATGCTCAGAGGACCTGCTGCAAGATGCAAAACCCCGGTAAGCCTCAAAAGCAGAAAGGCCACCTGCAGCTCACATAAACATCCAAAAAGAAAGTTTTGGAGCACAAGCGTATGAAATGAGGGAGCAAGTTTTGTCTAAACGTAGAAAGAAGAAAAACAGGAAAACTAAAAAATAAGCAGCTCCACCCAGAGCATCGAACATGGAAGTTGCAGCTATTTTGTCTTGAACTGATTGTTTCACACATGACACAATGCAGAGGTGCAAAAATTCAACTGATGGGTTAAACCTAACTGGAAAATTTGTCATCATCCCGCAAGACTGTTTTCCTAAACAACCAAAGAACATTTTAGAGTAAAGACGAGGTATTTCCTCCACTGGCTGACAGCAGACACCCCACAGAACCCACGAGCTCAAGGAGATTACAGTGAAGCCCGGAGAGAGCATCAAGCATCTGCTGATATCTGCGAGACAAAGACTTACTGCAAAAGTTTTCACCAAAATGTTATATGTGAGGATTTGCTTTGTCCAAATGAATCCCTGTGCTGTGTCTCCACTCAGCTGTTTCCATAATGACACAAACCCGATGAAATTAAACATATTTAAGGTGTTGGTGCTTTAATGCACAGTTACTATATGTCAACCTGAATGGGCTGAACACAGAGCCTGGAGAACAACAGATGCTTACTACTGGATTGTAAAGAAAAATTACTTCAAGACGTTAAAGCAGTGATTTTAAGATAGGGCAGAGGAAATAAAAAGCAGCTTTAACTTCTATTAAAGGTCTTTACAGAAGTGTGAGTGTGATTTAAAAAAAATCTTAGAAACAAAAAGTGTTAGTCACTCCGGGGAAAATAGCAACGTATTCAAGAGCCTTGTTCAGGCAGTGTCATAAACCACATACAGTAGAGCAGTTCCTCACAGCCTGTCTGAAACATCAGGGGACTGTAGACATCAACCCGCCAGTGCTGCAACCTGCAAGCTTTTATATTTAGACACATGAATCTTTCACAAGGCCCCGTAGAACTGGGATGGGGTTGTTCGGTTGGTGAGGTCACCACCCATCAAAAGCAGCCTTTTCACCCAACTGAACGCCTCTCTCTGGGGCTGAGAAACGGCCCTCTGCGTCCTCTTCCATTTCATCCCAGAGGAGCACACGAGCACTGGCTGTTTATCCTCATCACAAGGAAAAAGTTACGTGCATGTCCCCAGAGCTGCACTTCACTACTAGAGGGAGTAACCATGCACATCGTCAAATAAACTAATGAAAGGACGACTCTTTATCAGTTTGTAGTTCTTCCTTCTTTCTCACTCTAGCCCTAAATGTGTACGTCTGAATCGAAATCCAGTGCTTTTGTCCCACTTTAATTCCCCATTCTTCCGCTTTCTAATTTCTGTTTATATTGAAAATTCATTTCTGTTGACCAGTGGTTTGTGTGGGTTCAGCATTTTCTCCTGCGATTGACTGCCAACATTCTCCACTGCTTCGGGCAGCATTTCTTTTATTTTTTTTTGAGTCCGTCTGTGAACAAAAGAGGCCATTTTGTCACCCAACCAAAAAGAACTATCAGGTCATAATCGCTTCCAAACCATCTACAGTGGCCCACAGGGGGCAGTACTTACACACCTGCCACATTATAAAGCAATTTGATGAGTAATAATGTCCCAAAATGTAAAAAGTGTCCACTTTAGCTCTAAAGGGTGCACTCAGGACAGGGTGCGGTGGAAAAATTACGAGCTTACAGCTGATATTTGAGCTATTTTCCTGCCTTTCATTTTTAATTTCACACATTTTATGCACTTTCAAGGGCAATTTCTGACCCTGCTTCTGTCCTGTCGCTACCTGCTTTCATCTTTTCTGACTCCACCTGTTTCATATTCCCTACCAGCGCCTTACTATAAGAGAAACAAGAACGCAGGAGTGAGAAGGGGAGAAAGACAGGATGGCAGACAGTCGGAAACAGATGAAAGATAGATAAAGATAGAAGCTGGCTAGGCTTCAGGAAAGAAAAAACCCTCCTGCCTGCTCTCTGCGCACCGCTCACCAGATTTCTCTGCCTGCTTTTTTTCAGAATCCCTAATCTTGCCTGTTAACAACCTGCCAATAGGGCCGCTGTCCTCATGAATAAACATACGGAGACTGGAGCATGGCCCTGAAAACATGACAACCAGCGTTCATGTGAGCACGCCTATAATGCGAGTGAGCTTGCCTGCGACTCAGTCCATCACTTTTTTTCCACTTCTGAAAATGTTGCCTCCTTCAATTGGCAGGCTTATGATCTTTTAATAATGATGACAGGTAGCAAATGGGTGGAGTGTGGAAAGCTATGAAGAGGCTGTGTGGTGGAGATGAGTGGGCTGACTCACAAGAGCTCAGAGTTAAAGCTCCGCTGCGGGGTTAGTCAAATAATTTGCCTGTTTTTGTTAACTGGGCTTGCACTGGCCCTTGTTTTCCTCTCCTGGTGTGATAAATGTCTGACGGAACCAGATGCAATAAAAGAACAGAGCCACGAGTTCTGTCAACATGATGTTCATTCGTTAAGAATTTCAGTTGCTCTTCTCCGGGAAGCTTTCCCACCCTCAGGAAAAAAAAAGTGAAAAATGGACAAGGTAATAGGCAGTGAAGCCATGCTGGAACTCTAAGGTAATCATTTCTTAAACAGGATGTGGCTGCAGTCTGTCTTTGAATCAAGCATCTACTGGAGCCAGACAGGTCAGGCCTCTGAAGGCGCACAAATCCCTGACGGCCAAAGAAGACGTGCTTCACTTGCCTCCACCAGCTGTATCCGCCACCGTCCTCCATCACTCCCTCTTTCCATCCACCCCCACCCCTTCCTCTGAGCTGCTCAAGCTGCCTCGTGTGCTCTGTGTGTGCGGGAGCAGCACTTTTGACAGGGTGACTGTGGCGATGCTGACCCAAGTCGAGCTGAACGCCCTCGGGCGTCAGCTACTCCAGCTGCACATATAGAGCAGCGCGTGGGGCACCCGATGAGACAGTGAGACAAGATCACTCCTACTTGCTCCCTCCCTCCCTCCTCCTTCTCTCTGCTTCCCCTCGCCACCGAGCATGCTTCTCTTTGCGACACAGGAACACCTTATGCATTATTAAAGACACTTTTCCTAAAAAGGCTGCTAGCACATTATTCTGCAACCACAGTGACATGTCTGGATGCTCAAAATGTCCACTTTAGCTCTGAAGAATGTGCTCACCCAGGTAGCTCTCTCAAGCTGACAGTATTGTGAAAAGGTTGGAATAGTCACACAGTTTAAAGCGACAGACGCTTGGACCGCACAAATGATGGCTCAGTGTTACCTACGAATTTTTGATAGCATTAGATATAAATGACAAAGCACATAAAGCACAAAGTGACTTCAAATCTGATATCAGTCACTATATCAGTTATGCCAAAAGCAAGTGTTGCTGATGCTGTGTATGAAGTGTAAACTAAATCCAGAAACCCTCTAATGCACACTGTGATCCTCCTGTCAGTATTTGGATGGAGCCTGAACCAAAGAGCGCTCATGTTTAATGATAATGGTTAAAGGCATCTGCTTAAAACAGCAAGGTTTTTTTTAGACTAATTCAAGGTGAAGCCATTCTAGTCTTGAAGATTATAACTATTATTTAAAAAAAAAATAGCATAACTGTACTGCCACATACTGCTGTGTGACAGACCTGGTGTCACTCATTGGGCTAGGAAGCATCTTTAAATCACATCAGGAGCTACCAAATGTGCAAAAGTGACCAACACCTAAAGCAAATATACCAAAAAGGCTTCTAAATGCAAGAGACAACACAAGGATGCATTAAAGGTGGAGTAACTGCTTGCAGCATGACACTAATATAATTATACATGGCAGTGAAGCAAGGACGTTGTAATAAGTTCCACAAGGGGGCGCCTCTAAAAAATGACATGAGGAAATTGTGTCATGTTTTTGGATGAATTCAAGGGCACCTTATTTCTACATGTTAACAAGTCTTCTTTGCTTTAAACTTTGTCAAGCTGTCCAGAAACCAAAGCCCAACAGCTGCCTGCCCCATCCTTAGCTGTTTATTGCTGGAGATAAATGCATAAACCAGACTCACCAACTTCCAGCAACGTTAGAATTTATTAACCGGAGTGTAAAAATTATTACTCAACGCACAAAAGAAAAAGTAAACTTCACAAGCAAATGGAAAACTCACATTTCTCTGAGTGCCTCTCTGGGAGTCCCGCTGCTCTTTAACGCCGCTCAACAAGTTCAGAGCAGCAGAATGAACATGAACGAAGAATGAAGCTCTTTAAGACGCGCTCCTTAACGGGAACGTGATGAGTACGCACGTCAGTCTCCGAGGAATCGCTGCGCGCACCATCTCTCGCTCTTGTTTCAATCAAGAGGAGGATTTTCCTGCCACTTCAAAACAAATGACTGATCACCGTCCTGAGGGCTCGGTCAGCACCGCGCCTGCTGGAAACGCGGGGGATCTCTGAGCAAGACTCCGGTGCCAAAGTGTCCATCATCCTCTTTTCTGGTGTCATTCCATCACGGCGTCAAACCTGAAGCACGATGATGTCCACGGAAAAGGGAACCCCCCACCCCATCCCATACACACAAACGCACGCACGCACACACACACAGTACCGCGAAAGAAACTTTGACCTGCTGGCGCGCTTTCCTCCTCTCTGCGATCTGCTTCCTATATTTCCAAAGACTGCTGAGAGCGGATCTCTGCGCGGATCCCGTCCCCACTCTTCCCTTTCTCTCCTTCTCCCTGGCTATGAATAGGTTTCAGCCACTCAACAGGGACATGAATCACAGACAATTAGTCTCGGCTGCTGAGAATATCCGCTCGCATCAACGCATCTTCTCCTGGCCGTTTCCCCAGCAAGGCGCAGCACCAACCGCACAGACGGAGATGACGGGGAAGATAATGCGCTCCGAGGCTCTATTAGATGAGACGCACACTCAGCGTGTTTCCCCCCCACACACACGCATACCTATGGTTTGTCTCCACACCCCTCCAGCCCTTCTCCACTTCGACATACCCCTCCACCCCCCACCCACACCCCTTCTTCACAGACATCAACACGCACAATCCTCTTTCGGGACCCGTTAGAAACTCAGAAGGGAGGGGGATTGCCTGTAGTTGAACCTTGTTTGGTTGAGTTCACACGAGTCGCCTGATCGAGTTAAATTATCCAACAAATGTGGGCGTGAATATAGTCTCAAAGGAATGATTGCATCCGGGCAAAATAGAGGGGGGAATCATACTCTTGGTGATTACTACTTAACAGCCATCCGAGCATGTGAGAGGAAAAAAAAATAGAAGAAAAAGCCAATATTTGTGCTTTTGATTTCACATGCAAAGCCATTGTGAAGTGTGAACGTGTTGAAATGCCAGGATCTTATTTATAATTAGATTTATTAGCTATAGTTCTAGTAAAGCGAATTTAATGTGCGTTGTAACTATTCAAAATGGTGCGTAATTGCTCCAAAATCCCTCTGATGCAAATAAAAACAGTGGTACCATACGTTCACTGTTCCCGCCTCGTTAAATGGGCTGTTTTAATTCCAAATACGTGTAAATTGGGACAGATTAGCATAATATAACCAAGACTGAAAAAAAATGGAAATAAAAAAATGAGGGCGAAGGCTCCACTGAAAGTGTCTATTTTAAAATTTAAAAACTCAGTTACTGTGGGTGAATCCGTCCGTGGGATTACTTAGATATAAATAATATAAAAATCTGTTTATCAGAGTTTAACATTCGAAGTTTAACATCTGTGGGTGAAGAAGCGACGTTGTTTACATTAATTTAAGGCTCTCATAACCTACTTTAAAAAAGATTATAATAATAATTATTATTATTTAGCTAGCGCCCAGTGTGTTCTGTATTATCACTCCTTAACACAAGAAGCAAGAGAAGACGGGATGTTAAGGAATCGGGTCATGACACTTGGCGCACAGGTTAACCTCACAGTAGCTTGACAGCCTTACAGTTGAACGAGTGTCTACAGTCTATCTAGTCTCTAAAGGCCAAGACAGGCCCCTAGTCACCCCCTACCCGAAACCAACCTGTGTTAAGGCTGGTGATGTTCAAGGATGTGGTTAAAAGGAAAGACCAGACACACAGACTTCATAGAAAACGTTCGTTGGGCTTTTTTTCTTCTTTTTTTTAAATATCGATCAAAGAGCCTGAGAGAAAAAAAATCTATTTGATGACAAGTGTGGAGCCTTATTGTGATTTTTAGTTTGACTTTAAAGTGGGAATATCGGCACGCAGCAGTGCTGATTCGTTTCGAGTTAGACGTGGAAATGCTTCCTGCTTTGGTTCTGTGCACCTACAGCGCATCCACGTGTCCTTTAAACATCGTATACAAGTGATTTGGAGCGAGATTTTAAGATAAATCTTTCTGTTCGAAGAAAGTGTGAAACAGCACTTTCTTAGTAGGACAGCGGCATTCAGGCTACACCTGATCTCATATTGGATGTACCACAGAAAAGGTACCGCTTTTTATTAGAGCATCTCTGCGCACGGGAGAGTGTGGTGCCGAATGAAAGCACAGCAAAGAGAACCTGAAAGGTAAAAAAAAAAATAGCATGTGATCTGAAAATAGTCGCCTTACTTTCTCTTATCACGACGCACCTTTTGGTCGCCCACTTGGCGCGCGTCGTAGCGAAGCTTTAAAAGTTTATGCGCCCCTCCATCCAGCTGGACATCAATTAAAGAAATAAATCGGCTGCCTGAGCCTCTCACCTTGGGCTTCAGTGGTTCATTCCGTCGGTAGCAGCCGGTAATGTAGCCTGTTGCAGACAAATAAATCCGCTTTAAAACGGGACATCTTAGCACGGCGCGAGAACGGCACACTCCGCGACCCGCTTGTCTCTGCCGCTCCCGGGGAATGGAGAGGAGCTCCCTGCACCGACGCAACGTCACTTAGACCTGGACACACAGGTGGAGATTTTTCCAGGAGAAAATCCCACAAAGTCGAATGTAATTGTATCTTTAAGCGTTTGGTTATTAAAAAAAAAGAAAAAGAAAGAAAGAAAGATTAAAAAAAAGGAGAGACACAGAGACACCTCGAGTGGCCCCTTAAAAAAGAAAGAAAAAAAAGAAGATCCTCGGAGACGGCAGAGTGGCCAGACCCACTGCTCTCAGACACAATGAGGTGGTGAGGCTTTGACAACTGGCTTTCACCTGAAGTTTAATTCTACGAAGTGGCGAACAATAGCTGACTGCAACCATGAACAGAAATATACATATTCTTCAATTTTTAATTTTCTTTTTAATTATTTTTTATTTATTTATTTATTTATTTTTACAATTATATGGCTTTAAGTAGGAAATGCACTGTCTAAATATGTGACAGCATTAAAACTTTGGAAACAGGAGCGGCAGCATCGCTACTGAGTGGGAAAACTGGTCTACTGTTTGTGGCAGAAAGAAAAAAGCTCTATGGAAAAACGGCTGGCAGTAATTCTGTTAGTCTTCATTTCGAGCAGCTGCTTCCAGAGAGGTGTTTTGTTTGCTTAAAGTCAAGTTGTTAAAAGTCAAAGGTGTACCGTCTGAGTAGACAAACATGTAAAACTTATACTGCTAAGCAAAGAGCTGGAACAATGGATTATATAAGCTGTGAATGACAACATATTGCAACACTAGAGGGGTTAAGCAAGTCAATCAACTGATAAATCAAACAGAAGCATGCCGTGAAGCAACTCTTGCCTGTTTTTTGGGGGGTTTTTTGCTTTTCAAATTGGAGAACATTGCATTATTTGCTCACTTGTCTTGCATCTTTAGCAGTTACAGCTGAGGGAGTGGGCTTCCAAGGCAGCATATGAGTCAGAAACAGAGTTTTCAAGGCTAGAAATCTCAACAATAAGCCAGTTGAGTCACTAATCAATAAACCCTATCAAATCCAGTACTCTAGCATGGCCCACGAAACATTTTGTTTCATGGGACTGTTCCAGTGTAAATTAATTCATCTCTCGCTTTACTCATGTCACTGCGGAAAGGTTAAGGATACAGCGTTGACCATCTGAGCTGAGAAGACAGCTCTTCATGCAGCTGCCTCTCTCTTTTTCCCTCACTTCTGTGAGCCCAAGGGCAACTTGCCTGACATGAACCTCTTTTTCTAATTCACTCAGCGACAAGAAAGAGGAGAGCGCAGAGGAAAGCTACCAAAGAGCACATTTAATTCCCACTTATTGACTCAATACAAAGACACCATATAAAATGTGGACTCACAATACATTTCTGAAGCTCATCTACAGACTGTTAAGCCCTATTCTGTCTTTTATTCAAGGCCTAAAAACACTAAGCTCACGCAGACTGGGTTTGAACAGGGATTCTGTAAATGAAGCCATTCGCCAATAAAAGGCTAAAGTACCTGAATACTAAGAGATAACCCCGTGTATGTTAACATGTTAAGGTAAGGCTGTGCCGAACAAGACGCACTAAAGGTCAGCAAGAGAAATGAAAGGAGGATGTGTTTGAATGTGGAGGAGTATTATTATTCAAGGACAAAATGACCATGTGCCATCAAATCCATCAGTGGGTTCAATAGATGGCTCTTTACTTAAGAGACCAATAATCACGAGGCCCACTCTTCCAGTATCTCACCACTTCACTTATGTGCTGTTAAGTTTTGTTTTCCTTTTCCTCTTCTTCTTCTTCATGGTGGTTATTAGTAAATTGATGAGTTACGCTGTTTTTGCACATCCCTGTCTGGCGGATGCCAGGGACGGATGTATTGAATTTTTTGCACCTGTTGAATGGACGGTAATGTTGCCTGTATCCAGAAGAGTCTGTCCGTTAGTCAATGGGGTGGAAGGAGGAGAGGAAGGCAGGTTATTAATACAGGAATAGTGCAAGTAATAGTAAAAGTTAAAGAGAGGGCATGCTGTGAGGATATGTGGAGTGCAAACCCAAATGTAGGAAGCAGAGACATAATGACTTAATGAGAAGCAAGCCCTTAATATTGGGTGTGAGCAGCAGGCCAAAATAACTAAACCAAAGAGTTAAATAATCAGTAACCCAGAAGCACAAGGAGATCACAGAGGGTATGCACAGGGAGGCCAAACAGAAACATAACAACGCAGCTGACAAACAGTCTGACAAGGACAAAGAGGAAGAAGGGACTATTTATACACACTGGGCAGGCTGGGAGCACAAAA